ACAGGTAAACCATGAGGTCTTTCCATAACCCTCAGCTGCCTGCATCGCAACACCTTGCCCTCACTGTGATGCAGACACTCAGCATATTCCTCGAACAGGCGTAACTTTTCACAATCAAGACAGCATCCCCTAGACCTTTCTGAAATGCTATTAGTCAAATAAATGCCAATAGTGCTAACTTGAAAGTGTAAAAACAGGGTTTGGTGTGGTCATGGCATAGCTCGGGAGCAGTGGGGGCATCTCTTATGGGCTCAGGTTCACATCCCTGCTCACGTGCCTGGGAAAGTAGCACAGGATGGCTCAAATGCTTGGGTCCCTGTATCCAGGTGGGAAACCTGTAAGAAGCTCCTGGCTTCTAGTTGCAGCCTGGTGCTGCCATTCGGAAAGGGAGCCAGTAGGTGGAAAAACTCGTCTTTCCAGTTCCTTTTATAAACATCATTTCCATTTACATGTCAATTACATAATAATTTTAAATAAATAATTTAGGGGGCCTGGTGATGTAGTCTAGTGACTAAAGTCCTCACCTTGAACACACTAGGATCCCATATGGGTGCCAATTCTAATCCTGGTTACCCCACATCCCATCCAGCTTCCTGCCTTTGGCATGGGAAAGCAGTTGAGGACAGCCCAAAGCCTTGGGACCCTTCAACCCCGTGGGAGACCCAGAAGAGGCTCCTAGCTGCTGGTTTCAGATCCAGCGCAGCTCCAGCCACTGTGGCTGCCTGGGGAGTGAATCAGCAGACTGAAGATTTTCTTTTCTCTCTCTCCTCCTCTCTGAATAACTGACTTTCCAATCCTTAAAATGTGAGTGTGCGTATTTATTTTTTAGGAACCAGTGTAGTAGCCAAGTGGCTTCAAGTCCTCACCTTGCACGTGCCAGGATCCCATATGGGTGCTGGTTCACAGCCTAGCTACTCCATTTCCCATCCAGCCCCCTGCTTGTGGCCTGGGAAAGCAGCAGAGGGTCAGCCCCAGTGCTTGGGATCCTGCACCTGCATGGGAGACTCAGAAGCTCCTGGATCCTGGCATTAAACAGGCTCATCCCTGGCCATTGCAGCCACTTGTGGGGTGAACCAGCAGAAGGAAAATCTCTCTCTGCTTCTCTCTATAAATCTGACTTTCCTGTAAATATAAATAAATCATACATACACACATATATACAATGTAATCTTTTCCACAGGATGTAGTGAACCCTGCTTCCAACTCTTTTTCCAAATAAACCCTTTCTTTTTAAGATTTACGTATTTTTATTTGAGAGACAGATTTACAGAGAGAGAAAGATCTTCCATCCTTTGAGCCACTCCCCAAATGGCTATGAAGGCCTGGGATTAGCTGATTCAAAGCCAGGAGCAAAATGTTCTTCTGATCTCCAAGATGGGCACAGGAACCCAGGACTTGATCCATCCTTAATTGTCTACCTATGTCCTTCCCAACCCATAGGTAGACAGCTGGATTGAAACTGGCACTGCAAGAAGAGAATTTTGTTAAGCCACCACACAGGCCCACAAGGGTAATTTTTCAATTGCACATAATTGGAAATCTGCCCAATTGCAAACCACAGATTTGAGGCCCATCATTTCAACTTCCTATTTTGAAAAGGGACTTATAAAAACAAGACTCTGATCACTTCTGCTGAACTCAGACTTGCTCAGATAAATTTCATACAAGTCTCAGAATGTGGGGGAAAAGCTTAATAGTGTCATTAATCATTGAAATTATGCAATAAACAGCTTTGGGAAGTCTAGGAAATATGTATTTTAAAGACACAACAGGAGCAGAACATGAAATTGGACTCTGAGTGAGACTTTTTCAAAAGAACAAAACTAGAAAGTTCTTGCTGAATTAATTGACAAAAATGTAAGCCAATTTATACTTAGCTTGATTTACTCTGTAAAGTGCTTCAAAAGAGTTGTGTAGCCTTCTCTTTCACCACAAGGATTCAGACTGGCTTATGTGGAAGGCACTGTCCTTCACGGCAAAACTGCACACAGCCTGCTTGACCAATATGCCATGTGTTATTACAGATAATGCCCTCAAAATTTATTTAAATGCTCTTATAGTTCTCCTTTTGCTGACTCCAGGCCTTACCAATTAAAAAAAAATCCTTAAAGTATACTTTAAAGAATACTTTTTCTTAAAACTCCTGAGCATACTCTGTTGTGTGCCTTATCACAGCTCCCTTCCATGCTGAAGAATCCCTTCCACCTGAGACCTAATTGGACAATACAGCTGTAACTATCACCATGACCTGTATCAAGATTACAGAGGCTAGGAGACTCATCCAAACATTTCAACACCATGTAGAGATTATCTGCTTATTCTTAAATATTCAACAAACGAGTATGTGTAATTCAGAAAGCAATCAATAGCTTCATTATTTTCCAACTACAAATCGAATTGTGACAAAATTCAGAATAATTCAGGCTTAAGTTTGTCTGATACTGAGAATTTTCACGAAGAGTCAGGATCTTCCATATTCAAAGGCTCTGCATCTGCAGATTCAAGCAATCACAGACTGAAAATATTTGACAAAAAACAAAACGCACAAAACAGGGATGTGCACAAATAAAGGATGTTCTTCCTGGTTAATAATCCCTCAACACCAGATCAGTCAACTAGGCACAATTCTGTGATTTGAGTACACAGATTATTATGTTACAATAAAGAGGGGTCTTTTGAGTTAACAGAAAATGCATAATGAAAAAACTGTGCACACATTTAAAAGAAACTTTCGTACCAACATAAACTAATTCCAGTTTCAGCGAACTTCTTGAGGTACCCTAACACAACACCCAGGCACCCTAACACAGGGGATCCAGGCATTCTCAGATGTTTGGTACAAGCGTGCAGGTTGTGGAGGTGTGTCCTAAAACCAAACTCCCAGACACCTGGGCTACATACAGGACATATCATTATTGCTACACTTACACATAACTCCAGTCTTTCTTGGGTGGCTTTTCCCACTGCTCAACTCTACCCACAACCTTCTCTTCACTTTCCATCGCTTCTAACTCTCCAGTTCCGTTTCTTGCCGCCATACTATTGTAACTGTTTCTGCCAAAGCTAACTCTACTAAATATAGCTCTCAGATACCAGGTCTAATTTATATGCAAAGGACTTAAAAAAATATTTCATGTTTTGCAAATGAGACAGTTGCAATGCAATATATGCAATTATTCCAAACTAATACATAATTTGATTTTATACATACATAAATAAAAATTCTTTTTACCAAGCTATCGTAACATAAGAAACAAACAAATGTTCTATAAGAACTATAATCCATCTTAATAGATGGGAAATGCCTACATTTAAATCCAACACAGGGTTTAAATCCATGAGTTATTGCTATCCTCTAAAAATATTCATAAGTATTTGTATACTTGTATACTTTTCTGCCTATAAAATTTGAGATTAAATTTAATTTCAGATATAAAACAAATTCTGAGAATAAGTAAATGCTATCCTACTTTATAAGTTAAAATGATAATTTAAAAAATCTTGTTAAAGATTTTTTTATGGTATTTATTTTGCAAGAGATAGATCCTCCATCTGCTTGTTCACTTCCCAAATTGCTGCAATGGCCAGTTTGGAGCCACACTGAAGCCAGGAGTCTAGAGCCTCAGACAAGTCTCCTGTGTGAACCAAGCCCTTGGGCCTTCTGCTGCTGCTTTTTTCAGGTCAAAGCAAGTATACAGATTATACTGAAATGGATTAACCAGGACATGAACCTGTGCTTACACGGGATGCCTGCACTGTAAGCAGTGACTTTACCTGCCACACCACAAGGCCTGTAATTGATGAATTTTTTAAAAGATAAATAAAATTTATGACAATGAGAGAGAGTTCAGACACAAATTTTGTATTCTTTTTCATCTTTGGCTCTTAACTCTTTAGAGTTCAAACATTCAAATCCCAAAAGCAAGAATACAATTACGCAAATGAAAAAACCATTTTTGACCCCTGGCATTATCCTCAGGAATAAATGGACACTTCATTTTGGTGCTGTTCCAGTCTAGGAATTCTTCCATCAACTCATTTTACCACATGCCCCTTGGGCTACAGGACTCTTTCAAAAGCTGTAAGAAGGTCTACAGTGCAGCTACTAATTTTTTTTTAAAAGACAGGAAAGACGGATGTGCTGAAGGAAAACACCATCAGTGACCCTAAAACTGTTCCCTGCGTCCAATGAAGTAAGAGAGGAGTACCCAGAACCCCAGGCGTGGAGCCAAGCATCGGGAAGGACTGCCTTTTCTTATTATATTCAGGCTAGAACAGGAGACCCTAACAGAGGAAAAAAGGAGGGGAAGGGAATTAAACCAAGTTTTCACTTAGTACCTATTTAACAGTAGAAATATAATAAATGCATATGTGTATTAATTTTTTAATGTGTTCCTTTATCATAAGAAGCGCTGTTACTCCAGATGATGCAGCTGAAAAAAACCCCGTAGCTTCAAGTAAACTGCCAAAAATGAGACACAAAAATATATATTTAGGTTTATCTTTCATGAAAAAAACTGGAGATGTGTCTAACGCACCTTAACCTAGGGATAGCAAAGTGCTCTGGGTTGAGTTACCACCCCTCCAGGTATGTTCAAGATAGAATGAACATTAAATTAATACACATTAAAAGGTAGACTACAAACACTATAGTTTGGCTTTCTATCTAAACCACAAAAAGAGGAGGGAGATTCCAAATCAAACACAAGAAAGCAGCAAAACAACACATACGCAAAACTAGAAATTTGAGACACTACAGAACCAAAAATTTAAATACAGTTGGTTCTCCTTTACTGGTCCATTTATGTACCATTAACTTAGCAAGATTATGATACAGCCTATGTTCTTTTGAAATAAAATGTCTACAATGTGAACTGGATAGAAAATTGACAGCACTCCTCCTCCAAATGCCCTAAAAAGAATAATGACTATTTTTTACAGACAGTTTTCCAAATGCATAAGCATTCATCTTTGTGCTCTGAATACAGGCTCTGTCTCACCTGAGGCCGAGTTCATCATATTCTGCTGCACCGGCGGACTGGTGGGGGCTGGAACGTTCATCTGAGAGAGCATGGCCTTCCTGGGATCTTGCCACGTTGTTGTCTGATCAATGTGACTGAAACAAAACAAACCACTGCATCAATAAACACGTATACAGATGCAAAAGATGAGATAAACAAGTTTTACAGAAATATAAAATCCGTCACATCACCATCTTCTCTATACATTTTTCACCACTACATCACTCAGCATTTGCCTCCGAGACCTACAGTACAAACACAGGATTTGAAAGAGTTACGCTCAACAATTAAAAAAAAAAAAAAAAAGATTTAATTACTTCTATTTGAAAGGCAGATTTTTACAAAGAGGGAGAAGTAAAGCAAGAGACATATTCCATCTGCCAGTACACTTTCTATATGGCTACAACAGCCAGAGCTGAGCAGACCTGAAGACAGGAGCCATGGACTTCTTCTGAGTCTCCCATGTGGACGCATGGGCCCAAACACTTGGTCCATGCTCCTCTGCTTTCCCAGGCACATTGGAAGGGGCTGTATCAGAAGCAGAGCAGTGAGACTTGAACCCATAACCATGGTGCTAAGTACTACAAGTGGAGGCTTAACATACTATAAGACAGGGAACATTTTCACCTAGGAGACAAGCATTACTCACTTCTATTTTACAAGTTAATAATCTAAACCAGTAATCATGAATTAAAATTCATGATGTACAAGTAAACACATCTTCCTCTTTGAGCTAAGAATGCCAAGAAACATAATTTTTAGGCCTAAAATTCTTTTTAAAAAGTAAGACCAAACCCAGCACAGTAGCCTAGCGGCTAAAGTTGTTGGTTTGCATATGTCGGGATCCCACATGGATGCTGGTTCTAATTCCAGTGGCCCTGCTTCCCACCCAGCTCCCTGTTTGTGGCCTGGGAAAGCAGCTGAGGACGGCACAAAACCTTAGGACCCTGCACCAGTGTGGGTGACCCAGAAGAGGCTCCAGGCTCTTGGCTTTAGTTCGGTGCAGTTCTGGTGCAGCCACTTGGGGAGTGAATCAGTGGAAAGATGTTCCTCTCTGTCTCTCATCTTCTGCATATATTTGACTTTCCAATAAAAACAAATTTTTTTTAAAAAAGGCTAGGGCATAATATAAAGATGTGACCTATGGCACTAGCTTCTTATATGGGTGCTGGTTCAAGACTCAGCTGATCTAACTCCCTGCTAATGTGTCTGGAACAGCAGTGGAAGATGGTCCAAGTGCTTGGGCTCCTACTGGCTTTGGATCAGCTCAGCTATTTGGCTGTTGCAGCTATCAGGAGAGTAATGAAAGATCTACCAACAGATGGAAGACATCTCTTTCTCCCCCTCACTCCCGCCAACTTCCTCTTTCACATCTCAAGCATTATTATTGCTGGGACTGGCATGATACCTAGTGGTTAAATCCTCGACTTGTAAGTTCTGGGATCCCATATGGGCACTGGTTCACGTTTTAGCTGATCCACTTCCTTTCCAGCTCCCTGCTTGTGGCCTGGTAAAGCAGCTGAGGACAACCCAAGGCTTTGGGACTCTGCATCCACGTGGGAGACCCAGAAGAGGCTCCTGGCTCCTGGCTTTGGATCAGTTCAGCTGCGGCCATTGCGGCCAGTTGGTGAAGTGAATCAGTGGATGGAAGATCTTTTTCTTTGTATCTCCTTCTCTCTCTACATCTGCCTTTCTAATTAAATAAGTAAACACATAAATACAAAAGGATTAGTATTGCTAAGATCAAATAAAGAGTTGCTGGCCCTTCTTCCCCAGACATCTGCATGGCACCTCACCTCATCACTGTCCAATCTTTGCCCAGATATCATATCTTAGTAAGGCCGTCCCTGGCAATGCCATCTATAATCCAATCTACCCAAACTCCTTTGCTCACTTCACTTGATAATCCTTTGTCATTATCTGACATATAGTTTAACTGGTCTGTTTCCTCCAATTAGAACACAAACAGCTAGGCTGGGGTTGCAGCACAGTTGGTAAATTGCAGTATCTATGGAATGCCCATACACACAACCAGTTCAAGTCCCAAATGCTCCACTTCTGATTCAACTCCCTGTTAATGGCCTGGAAAGTCAGAAGATGGTCTAAGTCCTTGGGCCCTGGCCACTAATGTGGGAATTCTGAAGTCCTGGCTCTGGGCTTTAGCCTGGCTGAGCACTGCCTGTGAACACCTGGAGAGTGAACCACTGGATGAAGATCTGGAACCATGCCTTCAAAAAAAAATTCCTGGAAAAAATAATTTTATGTCTTATTCACTACAATATTTGATCAAGCCTAGCCTGGTTGTTGATATCATCTGGGAAGTAGGCCATCAGTTTCTCTCTGTGCCCCTCTGCCTTACAAAAAGGTAAAAAAATATTCAGAAGGGTTTAAACAGTGTTTAATATTCTCTGGTGAGATGTAAAATCACATGAAACTCATACCTGGACCATCAAACTGCAAAGATTCTGATCTTACAAAGAATAGCAATACTACTACTGTTCTCACCATCAAATCACCAGGTAAGCAAGAACATTAATTCTACCTGCAGTTACTACAGGAGTCTATTAGATTTCATCTCTCCCATAGTTTAAGATAAAGAGTCACTATTTAATCTATTTCTCCTAAGAGTTGAAAGAAACAATCAATTACATTTTTTAAAGGATCATAATTTAAGCGGTGTGTCTTGGCCAGGTAACTAGAATGAGAAATGGGATTTAAAATCCAAATTGATGTAAAGCCTGCACTTTCCACATCTGCCATTATCTCAGGCTATGCAAGGGTTTGGGTATAGTTTATACTTCCTAAGATTAATCTCTATATTATGGCCCTTCCTCCTTCAAAACCTGGCAACAATTGAAGAAAGAGAAAGAAATCTCCTGGTCAACAACCCAGTCAATTTAAAACAACAAAACTAAACCCCAGGATCACACTTCTTTGATATGCTTTCCATTCAAATACAAAATGCCTCCAGTTAAGAGAGGTCCCCAAGACTTTTTTGATGGGGACATCATATCTATCTTTTTTTTTTTGAAGATTTCTTTATTTGGAGAAGCAGAGATAACTATCTTCCATTTGTTCACAACAGCCAGAGCTGAGACAAAGCTAGGAGCTTCTTTCAGGTCCCCCACAGGAGTGCAGTGGCCCAAGCACTTGAATAATCTTCAGCTGCTTTCCCACATGCATTAGGTAAGAAACTGGACTGATATTCCAACAGCTGGGTCTCTAATTGATATCCATATGGAATGCTGGCGAGACAAGTGGCAGCTATACCCACCAAGTCACGGCCACAGCCACAATCATATCTTCTTGTATGAATAAACCATGGCTACAGGCAGGAGTTTTCTATGCAGATTCTGAAAGTCAAGAAATATCCTAGCAAAAAGATGCCATGTTAGACGCAAGTGTGGCCTCATCACTGAAATCCTGGGGTTTCCTGTACACAACAGACTGGCCAACCTCCTCTTAGGAGGATGAGCTCCTGTGAGGTGATGATGACAGCTGATGGCCGACAAGGAGTAGAAAAGTCTCAGGCTGAGATGACCGCAAGCAGATACTACGTACATGCAGATTTCCATTAAAATGATTCTACCTTCTCAAAATAATCCTCTAACCATTAAAGGCAGAAAGCCTATCTGTTAGCAAATAATATAATCAGGATTAAACCACATCTTTCAGTTTCTTGATGAGCTGTCTTTTCAATCCATTATACTGTCTGAAAGTAGAATGAATTTTCTACAATTTGTTACTCTGACAGAGCACAAAAGAAAATCTAAATCCTTATAAATGCTTTTTCCTATCATCTATTAATACTAATTTCAGAGCAAAAAATTACTTTTATTATATAAAACATACAATCACTACAGAAAATTAGCAGTTTGATCCAACTGCAGAGGCACTGTACTTACTGTTTATTCTCCTTCATCGTTTTCTTATATTTATTTATTTGAAAGCAGAGAGAAAAAATAAAGATATTTTATCTGCTGGTTAACTTCACAAATGCCTACAACTGTCAAACAAAATCTAGAAGTCTAACAATTCAATCCAGGCCTCCCCACTCAGGTAGCGGGAGCCCAAGCACTAGAGCCACTGCCATGAGGAGCTGGCCTCCTGAAAAGGATGCATTAGAAAGAGGCTGGAATTGAGAGTGGTCCAGGCTTGAACACAGGCACTACAGACAGGGCTACAGGTATCCCAAGCAGCAGCTTGACCAATGCCCCAAATGCCCTTCCCTAGTTCTTTAAATTGACAGTTTGCAGGCTGAAACACTCAGGATGGTTTCATGTGCTGAAACACGATATTCTGGCACTGGTATGATCACAGACATGATACCCTGCAAGTTGCTCTCCCATCTAGTTGCTGCTCTGGTTCTTGTTGTTTGTAATACTGTAGTATTAAAACTCCTACAACAAATTGGTTTCAAAGGCTACAGTGAAAATATCTCAGCACTATACTTCATGGTTCTACTCACTGCTTCCTTTAATGGCATACGCACAACTATGGGTTTTAAGGTGAGTAGTGAATCCCAAATGGGCTTGGACAACATGTCTTGTTTAAGGGAAAAAATCCTCATGTTGTCAGTGATATAAGCAGAATTCGAATCTCTGATTCCTTTAAAACAGCCATTACATTTCTCATGGCTATAGTTTTTCCTTAATCATTGCCGCACCCATCCCACAAATTTTTACCTAAGCATTTAAAGACCTAGATGATTCTTTTCAAAAGATTCCTTCATATAAAAAAAATTTTTTTTTTTTAAAGTAAAGCCAACATATTAAAACTCTGGTCTCTACCAATGACCATCTCAACTGAATCATGTGTTGCAACTTCAGCAAAATGTGACTGATTTACTTGCTTTCCCAAGTTACACAGAGTACATTAAGTAACATATAAAGCAACTAGGAATATACAGAAGACCCTTAAGTACTTTTTGACATAATCCTTTTGTTAGTCCAGTATTTAAATAGGAAGAATTCAATGGAATATGGATCCAGACATGTTGAAGAATGAAATAAAAATGAGAATGACAGATATAAAACTTTAAAAACTTATTCCATGAATTAGCACATAATTAGCACTTGAATATCTTTATAAGGCA